AAAGGGTTGGTTGACGTCCACCATGAGATCTAGTAGACCTAATGATGAATCTTGGAATTGCAAGGCTGTCCACAAGAGGTCGCTGGAAGTAACAGTTCGCCAACTATTGAAAAAGAACTGAAGCCACTCACAGTACTGGAGCTCATAATGTGGTGTTATAATTATGGGCACACTGGTAAAATAAGAAACTGAACGATGTGAAAAAGCTGATGAAACGAAAAGGGTACATGAAAGGGGGATGAGACAGCAAATTCTACTTCTTCTTAGCGTTGTTGTCCAACTCTTGTCGGGTACGCTTTTTCCACCAATGTTTTCCAGCGATCCCGGTTCCATGCATCGGCTGCAGAAAGGTCCGCAGCATTCATGTCGTATTTCAGGTTGTCTAGCCTTCGCTTTCTGGGTCGGCCTCTTGGACCCGACAATTGCAAAGTATAACTGTGACCTGTTGAAATAACAGCAGGTACTTCAAGGTTCCCTCCACATTTTACCATTTCGTTCTCTTACACGCTTCTATCAAAAGCGACTCGCAATTGCTGCCTCTACGAGCCATAAGCTGACGTAACTCTCGCGAAATTCCCAAGGAGGACCTGAATTCCCAATAGCTTTTTCCTGTCCTAGCAACAGCCATTTTTATTTGCCAGGCCTGTCGCATCATTAAAATCTACGCGACAGTCCGCGCTATTATATCGCGTCTTCCCCGACTGTGCGACTTATTGCGTCAGAGCTCCACACCTCCTCTCTGGCGAATTATTCTTAGAATTGTCCGGATCATCGCGACTGTGCTGGCTGCAGCCCGGCATCTGTTCTTAATGAAAGCGACTTTCCTCTTCAAGCCCGTTAGTTTCCTTGCCTGTCCTTGCAAAATCTGTTCAAGCAGGCACACCAATCGGGACTTCCTTAATTCTTACTCAAATAAAGTAGTGACGTTGTTAGGACTTCAATAGGACAACCGTGCGAGCTGGTAGAGTTTTCCCAAAAAAATACTGCCTTCCTCAAGACGCTGGTCGTTTGAAAACAACGATTGTTTTTGTGGTTGTGATGTTGCTCGTGACTCGCTTTCTGACAACCGCATCATCAAACGTACGTACGATGTTTCGGCGCATTAGACTGCCTGGCAACAGGATTCATTCCATTGAAAGCAATATATCATAAATTGTACTCATCAAGTTTTGAAATCGAAACAGATGTCCCTACCTTAGTAACTTAATTCATGTCAGGACTTGATTGGCATTCTGGGAGAAGTAACGTTCAAAAAAATGCCTGAAGGACAGCAAATCGTCCTAAAGAAGATATTAAATAAAGAACGCGTCAAGTATTCGAATTCTCAAGCAGTGCAGATGCGAAGTCATACCAATGTTCTGTATTAACTAACGCGAACGAAGAGCAAACAAAACTATTTACCTTTCAGCAATACGGTACAAATCAATATAGCTCAGTCTCAGTGTTGTAGTGGTGTGGCTACATCTAGATACGTACATAGATGCAGCCGAATCAGTTTTATTAGTCTGGAACTATTGTGACTTGTAGCAGCGCCGAAACATTTTGCTGCGGGAACCTCGTGTCCACTGACTTTTCGTTGTGGGAACCTTGGGTCCACTGATGATTGAGGAGGACCTGAATATGGCACGACTGTAACTGGGCCTGCGAATATCGTTTGCGTTTGCGCTTTCATTACTCGTTTTTGGGGCCTCTTTTTTCGGTGACGTTATGGTCATCCTGACCTTATACCAAAGCGCTCTTAAATTCACTCATTTTTTTCTCCTTGTTCTGCTCACTATTTTGCTGAGCTGACGAATAGTTGCATTCAAAATTAGAGGTTTTAGTGGCCAACTGGTTGTGCCTTTCACTGTGCTTTTGTTGTGCTGTGTCTTTTGAAAATTCCGTATTCTGCAGTTTTTAGAATTGGCCCTCTTCCAAGGCTGCGAAGATTTGAAATTCATTTTGGATTTCTCTTCTCCATTTTCCCAGTGACACCCATCTAACAGAACTCCTATGAAATATTGTATTATGTTCCTATAAAATGGGCAAAGGTCAATAGAACACGAAGCGGCTTGCGATTTTGACGGTTGAGTCAGTGTTGACATCGAATCCTTTTGCTACTCCGCGCCTCCTTCACGAGGCAGTGTACAAGGTTCAGTGCTCAAACTGTTGCAGCACGAAAAGTGGCTCACGCCCTCTACCTTTCTGAATTGCTTTTCTCTCGCTCAGGTATGCTTGCTTACTTGCCGGTTCCAGTCCCACCGAAAGGAATAAATATCACGGGCTGTATGCCACCCTCTCTCAGCCCAAGAGAGGACTGAATTTGGCTGTGGGACCCACCACAGACCGGTTGGACCGACCCCGCAACGTTGTATCCTCTACGAAGTCGCGTTGCTCTAATTGTCTGGAAGGTAGAACCACAGTCGTCTGGAGTACCTCGTCTCCCTCAACCACAGGAGTATCGAAGGAGTTGCACGCGTCTTCCTTGGAAAGGGTAGCCTTGACTTCATAAAGTCGGATGGGTCGAGTTAGTATCCCTGCAACGAAAACAGTGACAGTATGCGAACGCGTGATTAGAACAGCTTTTTTTTCCTGTGCTCAAATTTGAAAATATCTCATCACCATTGCGAGTGTTCGCAACCAGTGTTCTGCAACGGCCGGTGAATCATCGAATCTCCGAATCAGTGAATGATTCAGACGTTTTGTAGGAGCGCAGAATTCACGATATTGCTTGAGGTCGCAGAAGCGGTGCACACCAACCGCGCCTTACCTTTTTTCGCGCATAAATCGTTCAGTGGATTGTTGCTGCCCATGCCCACTTTTACACTCCAGAGTTTAGTGTTCAAGAGGATTAGCTTTATAGCGCGAAAGTGAATGATCTGAAGGCGGAGACAGCGATTGCACTGCAGCAGATTAGTAAAGATATATAAATTGAGCGCTAAGCACCTAAAACTTTATCCGAATCTTGGAGTATGAACGCCACATGTGTCGCTGGAAGGAATTAAAAGAACCATTCTTCGGCAAATCCGTATTACAATTTTGTTTCATAACATTGCGTCACCTGCTCTTCTTATTCAGTGCTGTCCCTACAGCACAAATATCTGCTCACAAGGGAAGCTATCGACCCAAATTAGGCCATAGCGCGAATCCGATAACAGCGTCTATTAGCATTTCGCATCCCATTCAGTTGCTCGCACGTCATAAGAGCTGGTTCAGAGGTCCGCGATCGCAGAAATTTGAAAATGCTTATTTTGAAACATTTGAAAACTGCTGTAGATCTTAATAAGCAGAACCGTGCAACAGTCACGTCTTCAGTCATCACTGATAAGCAGATATTGCGCCGGATTGGAGAGCACGCTGTATGGTCTCGGAGCACTTGTGCTAATCTGTGATCCTTACGCGCGAGTTCGCGCGACGGTCTCTCCCGGCCCAGATTTCTTGCGCTTTATGCGCTGCGCCACGTTCCTGAGAACCGAATAAGTATATTATGCCTCATAACATTAAACAACCTCACGTACTATAGCGCAATCATCGCGTGGGGAGGTGGGTGCAGTCGCCGCACGTAGTTCGCTGGCATCACCTTACCTCTGTGTGGAGCGAGGAATTTCGTTGGCGAGCCAGGGGGAGTGTAGCTTATTCCGGGTGTGGGGGGCTGACGGCAGTCACTCGACATGCGTAAAAGTCGGATGATCAGTTTCTCTATGTTGATTTTGGAGTGCCGTGGTGCTACTAGTTGGGGTGGTCGGGGGGCCACGCGGCGGCGCGGGCAGTCTGGCTCCCTGGCATTGTTCGGAAATCAGTGGCGCCAGGGGAGTGTAGGCAGTCTAGGGTCTGGGGGTGAGGGCGAATCCACTGACATGCGCTTGAAAAGCTGAGATGGATTCGCCAGGTGAGCGACGGCCGCGCCCGCGTGCCCCCTCACACTAATTTAGAAAACGTGCCCCCCCCGGATCCACATGACCCGTTATATCTTTATAAATTACCAACATTTACGCCGTGTGTAGTTTGATAAGGAAATTAGAGACATATCATATGTTATCGTCTCTTAGGACCGACGTTCATGTCGCGCGACGCGACCTAGGATCGCGATCGCTCCATCGCTTTGGTCCGTCGCCGACTATACGGCCGTCTTACCGTAATTGTCATAAAAAGATGTGTATGAATTGAAAATGTATTTTGCAAGAAGATAGTGTGGAAACGGGAACAAAAAAGTGGTACTGCAGTGAAGCCGTTTTCATTTTGGAGCTTGGCGAAAGCGAAGCATGATCAAGAGCTGTTGTTTTTCGTATTCTATACATTGAGAAAATATAAGAGGCTGCGTCTGATTTGTTGCTAACAAGAACAAACAATTTAGGACGTTATTCACATGGCGCAGAGTCCCACATAGAAATGATGTCTCTTTAGTGGTACTACCCTTACGGGGGGACCCTTAGAGGGCCCGCCTCTTCCTCGTCGTAGGTGTCCTTTTACTCCGACGTTACCCTGAATCCTGTTTGGGATGTGTGATTCAAAAACGGATGGCAAGCAGAAAGCACTCATGCAACTCTGGCGCTGAACGACGGAATCAGGCGATGCTAAATTCCAGCCTCTACATACTGCTGATTGTGGAGTCACAAAAGCGATACTTTCACAATATTATTGGCCTGTGGCAATCCTGGTGTTTGGGAAATAACGTTGCTTGCTTGTTAAAAAAAAGGAAGCTTGCCTGATGTGATGGTCGGGTTAGACAAAAATTACTGCGAACCCGTGTTGTGGTTTAGTGCAGAAGCGGCTTTTTCGAGACGTGAAGCATTTTTCGCTGTGGACTCCAGGTCCGACTCATGTTCAGCGTGTGGACCTGGGATTCCGCGATTGTTTCGCAATATTTAGATATATGGCTGACTTCGCATTTTCATTCAAGGCGAACGTCTTTCGAAAAAAAAATCTTGCTCGTTCAACGACTGAGGAATTGGTTTCTAGTGATAGCGTGCAAACTTAGACACAATTAATGCTGCTAGGTTAACATATTGTAATTTTTATTCATGGCTGTAAAAAGGACAAATGACCAGAGAACGATGTCAATTTATGAAGTGACACGCAGTTTGAGGGGAATGGGTATGGAGAGTCACCGATATCACTGGGGCCGATGTGAAGTCGGAGTGTCTGCGAGTCAGTAGCAGTCAGCATTGTGTTGGTTGTTCAAGTTTCCAGCTGATTAAGTTAGAGGCATCGAGGCTGATAGATATGGCGCCACCTTTCCAGCGCAAGATATCACCTTTTTATTCCAATGTTGCCAGCACTCGCGGGCCAGCGAATCTTCGCTTTTCATGGTTGTTTCAGTTACTACTTTCGTCGTGTCTCATTGTGTTTTGTGTTAATTATATCAGCTTGGTTTCGATCCGCAAAGCTTATTTCGGAATCTGAGAAATTGTTGCATCGCTAACCACTCTACGTCACGCATTATCTTGAAGGAGTTTTTACGAATTGGGAAGTCATCTGGATTTGGTGTCATGAGGCTCCTGCTTGTTTCAGCTCAAGTTGAGCACTTCTTTGGCAAATATTTTGAACATGAGATTTTGTGCAAGGTGTTGCGAAAACTTTCCATCGGGCACGTTGTCCTAGCCCTCGAACTAGCGGTCAAACCGTTGGGCAAATTTCAAATAAATTTTACGACCTCCCCCGTTCTCGTCGTCCTCGGTTACGTCTCTCCCCCCACCAAAAGACATGTGTTTGTGTCTAATTACGGATAACATAAAGCGTGTATCCGACTCCGAAGTAATAGCGAGTAGAAGATAAAATAAGCATTTGCCCTTGATATCAATTCCCTTTTTTGCGATGCGGACGCATTCTACTTCATTTGCTACATACGTAGTGGCGTTTAGAATCTTAGGTGCCTATGACAATGACTTTGATGGGGCCAGCGATGTACAATTCAGTGTTCTTTCCATCCAGACAAAGTCGGCACTAGCTGACAATACCTAACCATTTGAGCGCGGCCGCGGCGAAAACGCGGCCGAAGTTGGTCCGGGCCCGCAAACCGTTTGAAAACACACACTGCGAGTGCCGCGAACTGTGCGTGCTGAGTTCTGCGGGCACTATCAACTCGGCCGCGTGCGCCGCGCGCGCCCATATGTTAGCGTATTGTCTGGGAGCAGACAAGTCTGGTACCAAATAACCGAACCAAGGACGGATGGAAGGCTTGCTTGCCCCGGGCGACTCAGCGACCTGGATTTGATCCCCGGACCGCCGCTGGTGAACGTGCCACTTGCCACGTACACCACTTTACGGCCACCCAGCGATTTAACACATTGACGGACAACGCGACTTGGGCCTTTTGGCACGTGGGACGCGGCGGATTTGGGGCGCGCTCGCCTCAGGTCGTTCAAGCAGATTTCGAGTGATAAAATACACCACTAGTGATCAATTATAAAACCAAATCAGAAATTGTAATGGGAGATCCATAACATAACAGGGGGTAATTGCGTGAAATTTTTGATCGAAAGACATGGAATAACAAAGTGAAAGCGAAATTTGTTCAAATCTAACTGAAATGGCCGGTCAAAGCAATTTTACGTCAATATTTCACAATTCAAATCACAATGTCTGATCCATCTTTAGTTTCCTTGGTCTACTTTCTGTTATCTTTAAAATCTGTCTACATTTAATAAAAAAGAAAGTAAACGAAATTATCTAAACTGAAGATTTCGTGATGGTTCAGAAACTCTCCTTAATTAAAGTTACGTGACATCTGTAAGGTCACTATGTTTGTAAGTTAGTCATGTCGCTCATTCATAGAATACGATACAAGGAACCTTCGTAAGGAAATCAGGCCGTACGCGAAAAAATGAGCGTAGCGTGGTCGGGGATTATATCGCGCACGGTCCGACATGGCTTGGCAATGCGACGGGATATATATCCCCGCGTTGTCGTCCTGTGTCAAGGATTAGATATCAGACACATACAACAGCGTTTGAATATAATAGAACTTCCCGCCCCGAATGGAGCAGGGGGGCGGAAGCACTTGCGTTGGCGGCCCGCGCAGATGACCGGATGGACTACTAGTTTTCAAAAGATGTGATTTTGTTCAGCCCAATATTTTCAAAATGGCATAGTTTGTAATCTTCGAACCCCTAGTTTCCGGAAACAACCATTATTTGCAGTTTCTTCAAAACTATGTTAGTTATGAGGTTAGAGAAACCGAATTCAACATGAATGGCACTTTCTTCCTTATGAAAGGTTGGATTTTCATTAAATAAGAAATGTAGGAAGTGATAAAAGATTTCTGAATCCAGGTTGTGTTCCTTCTAGAAAGTACTCAAACTTCTGCAGCGTCTCTTTTCTTTAAAGATCGCCGGTTGGATAATATTTTTTTCAGAACCAGGTTTTTAGGCTTTCAATGACTGTAAATTTCTTCAGAATGAACTTTTGCAATTCTTCGATTCTCATTCTGAAAGAAACTTAGAAGGTTATGCTTTCTAATGAATACTTCATTTCGTTCAATCGTTTCGAATCGTTCAAAAAACCGCCACGGGACATTTTTTTTTCAGGAGATTCTAGAGCAAGTCTTCTAAAACACGAGCTTTCAACACATGGCATCGCACAAGCTTTCTGCTTCATGATGGATCTGAAAATTTTCAAGAAGTTGTAAACAGTTGAATATTTTTTTCATAGTTTTCTTGTAAACCCTTAGTAGTCAATCTATTTCAGTGGTCACTTTTTTACTAACTTAGGTCCAGTTTGAAAACAGTGGATCTCCTTGAGAGCTTAGAGATTTGGGCGCGTGAACAGTCAAATATGAACTTTCCACAGTAGACTCTTCTGCTTTGAGGTGCGTCATGCACTTGTTAGTGGTTTATAGTTGGAGAAGCCCTTGAAAGTTATGCCCCTCATCTACGTATTGAGACATTGACCTTTGCAAATGCGATCCCTCTTCTCCCGTCGGTCAAATACTTTGTCCACGGAGGGATGACCCTGGTACGGTTTAAATGAGTCCCAAAGTGCCTTGATGTGTGCTATGAAACTAGCCATTGATTGTGAACTATTAACGTGAAAAAATGGTGGTTTTTTAAACAAAAGTCTGATCGTGAGAGTATCCGACATTGGACATCAGTTTTATGTCTTGATAATCAACTTCGTGTCAAAGTGTGCATGCAATCACATTGCTTCAGCATGGTTGGCGGCAAAAGGTATGCCATGACAAGTGTGTTAAATGTCGCGGACTAGAAATCCGTTACTTCTTCCAAGTTTCATTCGGTTTTTAATATTCTGCTTTACTCAGGAACTCCCATTGCTGTTTTGTCGATGTTCGATGTCTTTTCGCCATGACTACGTTAATACAATGACGTTTTTCTTTATATTCGGCGGTTTTGTTTGCAAATCTTATATGTTTAGATTCATTGGTTCAATGGATACTAAGACTGTTTACTGCTAGCGGCATTACAGTTCACGGAATAATGGACAAAAGTGGCGTGGTCCCCATGCGACTTTTCGCAAATTGGGAAATGGATCGTGCCAGCTCGAGCGTTGTACAAAGGTCAGAACTTTTGAAAATCTTGAACTTCAACTTTTTGAACTTTGACTTAATATTGACGCTACCAGTGCTGTATCTCCTGACCCATTTCTGAGACTACATGTTGGAACTAATGCCATCCATAGGTTTTGACTGTTCATTTTTGCTAAACATACCTTTCCCTTTCCTCCTATAACATTGACGCTTCTTTTTCCTTTTTTGAGATTTTGAAGGAGGAATGCTCTTCAACGGTGGTATTTGTTCTGAATAGTATGCCAGCACTGCTTCTTCTTTCACTTGAATCGTGTATAGGAGACTTTTAAAGCTTCAGTCGCGCCTTTAGTTTGTCCTATCAACCTATGATGAGAAGAAGTTTTTTTCTCTCTTTTTTACTTGTTTTCTCTATTCTTTTGATGGTGATGGATCTTTCCAGAGTCTGTTTCCTGAGTCTCAATCGTGCTATTTTGCATTCTCTACCAACGCAGACTCAATCTATCGTCATAACAGCCAAACTGGAGGTATCACTTGGCACAGTCCTGTTTATTAACGATATCTCCTCATGGGCCGTATGCAGCACTCGTGGTCGGACGTGCTGCCTACTGCCCACGTTTGGGTGTAACATTTCTTTTGATTTTAATGTCCTATTCCAGGGCAATAAGAGAAGTTTGCGTAGTAATGATATTGGAGTGACTCCTCATCACGGTCGAGTCGATCTGGATCTTGATATTTCTTTCACAATCCAGGTTAAATCTTAGTTTTTGTATTCTTGAACTATATAGCCTAGTAGTTCTGAACATTACATTTCAGTATCCTCACTTCGTTAAACGGAAAGGAAATAGCTTGCAGATTCTGATACAGAGGAGACGCAAATTTAAAAATAGGCCGTTTCCATCATCGTTTAAGGTGAGTTTTTCTGATACTGTAGAGAGCTGCGTCGGAAGGCGACGTGTTACGTAATCCCTAAATCGTTATACATTCTAATACATGCCATACTTCAAACGTCCTGGTTTGGCTGATCACTAAGGTTGTTTTGATTAATGACTTCAAGTCTTCTTCCGTGCAGTGATCTAAGCACAATCCTTATGTGATTATATGAATTGTATTACTTTATCTTGATTAGAAGCAAACTACTAGTAGGAATAATTTCACCTGTTCTATTTCTTGCGTGTGTGAAGATAGGCTTTCTAATCGGCTTTGTGATTTGCTCAGTAAAAAAGATGATGAAGTGGTTGCCAGTTACAATCGATGCCAGCATCGCGAACAGCATGAGTATATTTAATATGCAGTTTGAATAGCGTCCTGAAGGCATTGTTCAGACGATCGCTGTCGGTATGGTAAATTTGACTCAACTTCTACAGCACGGGGGATTGCGAGAAATACCACTGTGGTCGTCGGATAATAACGAAAAGCAGTCGTCAGTTGGTTCGTTTGTGTTTTTTACTGCTGTTTAAAAACTTTTATTTCTCTTCAAATCGTTCTGGACATTGTTTTTAGCACATTTAAGATCTCTATACTAGCGATAAGACGAAGTTCTCAATACATATTTCCATTTTAGTATTGAACAAAGATATTCGTGCTGTTTTCAGAAAAAGTGTTGACATAAAAGAGCACACATACCATAACCTCAGCCTTGAGTGTTTCGTACACAGTAGCGTGAAGAGTAGGAAAAGTGCTTCCAAGTTTGGGGACCGTCTTAGGTTGGGCAGTAATAGCGTTTGAAATAACATTTTTCTCCATATCCCTCATAGCTTGAAAGCAATTTCCTACTGAAATGTGTTCGTTCCATGTTTTCCTCAGTCTTTCGCGGCTAGCGTACACACCAATCCACTTGGGTAGATATTCTCGGAAACAGCTGCGATTTGTAGTTTGAGAATTCTTCTTCAGTTCAGATCCTCATGGTCACTAATTAGTTTGGATTCTCTCTCGCTGCTGTCGCACTGATCCACGGTACTCTTGTTCATGCTTCCGCAGCCTGTCCTCTCTTATTCCTTATGTCAGCCTCCATTTGGATAGATATTGTATTTTTGTAATCTTATGATGGATTTTTGAACCTTTTCTGATCTTTGTCACTTTGTTAACTGTCGTCTTTTAGTACAAAGTGTGGGTCGTCTCTGTTTGGTCACCTGTCAGTCTCAGCCACTTGAAATCGACTTGGAACGGGATAGGATCGGCAAAAAACACGGCGCACTAGAAGGAGATCTCAGCGAGGTGACTGACTCCACAGTGTCAGAATAATAGATGTAATGCCAAATCGTATTCACTCTACCCGTCTCTGAATTCGTAGAATGTTTAGGAGGACTCCTACAGCGATTATGAGGATGCACCTGTTGACAGTGACGTGAATGAGCCCACTAGCGCGAGAAGCGCTGGGAGGTGCGTGTTTTGATGTATATTTGTTTACAGGACATTTCTCTTTCACTCAGGGATGTATGTGTTTACTGGAACACTTAACATTTAATTCGAGTGTGACAACGGAAAGGATTAATTAATAGAAGCGCTATTCGAAAGATGATTATCATTCATTAGCTTCACCTGCCAACCTAAATCTCTCTAGGTGGCATGGGCACAGTGACGTTACTGCCCCTATTACGGACAGACCTGGATCAGTCCATTCGTTAACGACTTTATTCCCTCATTGAATCGACTATTATTAGTCTAGGAAAGTACCGAAACTTTCGTTACAAAGTTTTGCACTTAGTTCCAGTAAGAAATTTGTAGAATCTGGAACAGACAGCTTTATATGAGGTGCTTAATTTTGGTTATCTTGAGAGCACAATAAGCCAATAATGGAGCAAGTAGATGCTCTAAATGTGTTTCACGATTACAAACGGACCATTAATGTGGTGGCATTATAATTAAAGAGCTATGTAGTTTACTGGGAACTTTATTTTCCAGCACGTTTCTCTCATATCTTCTCAAATGCGCAAGACCTCGCCTTTGTTTTGATAATCTTTGCATTCTGTCCTGAGAAAGACTTCATGATGGCAGATGTATTAATTTGATACAGTAGTAGCCAAAAATTTACAATCAGATGGTTTTTCGAGAATTTCTTCGCGCAAAACCGCTGTCGACTCGAACAACGCTAAGAAGCCAACCTTGCTCCTCTATCCTAAATTCAACCCTCCCCTTCCATATTCGAATACGCGACCCCTGTCGGAATAGTGCACACGCACGCCTACATACATCAGTACTTTAAGTACTTATTCGAGAATGAATAAATCTTCGCAAGTTCTTTCTGCAGCGAAATAATAGACTTCCATCAACATTGGCGGAAACAGAAGAGGCTCGAACGCAAACTGCCGCATGTTTGCGAGACTCAAGTCATGACCATCCCACGAATGACTGACTCTATTCTCAGCAGCCATCTTTCGCGCTCAGTATCGTGCGCAGCTCATTAGTAGAAATAAAAAATTGTTTTTCTAGCTTTTGTTGAAATAATATTTCTAGCTGGGAGTTTCTAGTCATTTCAATAGATTGCATCCTGTGTTACCTTTACAATGTCCTTCATTAAGAAAACTAATCGAATCAAGGTTTCAAACATCTTTTTTTCGAGTCGTCCCAGATATTTCCAGCATACCTGCAAAAGGCACAAACCACCTTTGGGTTCCGAAAGAAATTGCAAAGTGATGACATATACATCATTTATCAGGCATCAACGCTTGATAATCGCTCATATCTGAGAGCTTCCGATGTTTTCATCCGCTGATTTGGTTCTTGTTGAAATTGTAGGGCATCTGTGAGTGCATAATGAACTAACTAATCTTCTCGTAGCCTGTATTTTTTTATCACACCTAAGGAGTGTGTGTGATAAGGCCATTGTCAAAAATAGGTTATCATGAATGCTAGCAGGCGCAACGCCCACTCATTTACAGAGGGCGAGCCATCAAAGGAATCACAAGGCATCCGTGGCAAAGTCGGAAGAATAACATAGCAACGACTTCCACTCTGCTTGAAAAAATTCAAAAGTCCCAATGCGGAGTGAGGTTGCAACGTCCTCACAGCTACCAGAATGATATGCTTTGGAAGTTGTACATACGTCGGAATACTGATATCCTCATTGTTACGACAGAATTCTTTAGGTATTAATTGTGAGCTTGGAATAGTTTTGGAACTGCTTTCACTGTTTTCAATGCCAATAAATTTCTGTCTGCCCAATTCATTAGCTTTCTGATGGTGGTAAGATTACCTTGCATTCCTCAATATATATGTTCACTATCTCGTTGTCATGACTCAAACTTTGAATAGGTAATTGACAGGAAGAGAATGAAGAGATATTTGATAATGCATTTCCACCTATGCTGCTGCGTAAATCATAAAAGAGGATCTTTTCCTTCCAACGACGCGCAAGAATCCTAGTATTTAGGCTAATAAGTAGCTAATGATGAAAAAAAGAAGGCGATAAAACACAGTATGAAAAGAAGTAAGACCAGGGGCAGCAGAATAGATGCATCAGTTTTTCATCATAAAATTGTTATAGCTGAAGTTGTTAGGCATTCCTCAAGATCCGATTCGCTGTCATGGTACCAACAGAAAAGGGAGCTTCAGGAATCTCTTTGAGGATATGGAGAACATGAGGGACTCAGCGTATCATTGAGACGTTTTAAACAAACAAATGATTTAGATAAAAACCGCCATATCAACATGGATCCTTATTCAACTGTTTTCTTGTTTAAATGTCGTAAGGACAGTTGATGGCTCCAAAATCGACTGCATCGAACTTCCAAAACGGCTTACATCTCAGTAGTCTCATCTCCCAATCCTGCGCCATAGTGCGGAAACCCATTTAACGTCCAAGAAAAAGATTTGTATCCAGAACGATTGAGTGGAGTCATGGTGGACAACTATCCAGGAAAAGAACAGTTTGTGAAAACACCAAAATAATAGTGGAAGACCACACTTTCGACACCAGATGGGATATCCCAATCGCGAGTGATCCTTCGTCACATGAAAAGCGCGCATTGCAATCGAACAGTATGCCAAAAGCTCAGCATTTCCGATACCAGTAATTTCACTTCCGTTCACAAATATCAACCGCCTACTCACTACTCAAGGCCCCATGATGAAAAATGTGGTGGGAGGCTGTAAGCCGTAATGACATCCAAGAATATCAGTTCAGGGTCGGTATGGGAGAAATGTCAAGGGTTGCAGCGATAGCCGAGAAATGAAGACGCGTCTTGTAAGAAAGGCTTAAACGACACGTTAGGGCGTTGAGAAACCATTGCTTATACCAATACAGTTTCCAGACAGCGTACAAAGACCAAGAAACCACCCCTTCAACTTCGGTCCTTTAGAGCTTAGGACAGCACGTACTAGTTGTCTTTGCTCTAATTTAGCACTGACGAAGAGATGCGACGATTTGCACGTAGCTCGCTCGTGGAACCACACCTCCTTCTGGCGCCCAGCTGTGCTCACATAACTGGCCCAAACGTATATCTCAAAGCATTTGCTATACAATTTTCAATTAACGTCACCCAGATGTAACGCTTCTAGCTTTCAGGAAGTTATGTTTCAGGGATCCAAATTTGGGAGGAAAACTTGTGGTTTAAATGAAGAGGGTAAAACCTCTGGAAAACTGAGTCGTCAAAGAATTTTCGATACACTTCAAACTCCTTCCCATATCGATGACTATGAAGAAACGAGAGTCTGATAGTAATCAACCTTTAGCCTAATTCTGCCAAAGCCTCGATTAATATGCTGGCGAGCTGATGGCACATTCTTGAATTTCTTCATAAATTAGCGCTCGATAAATATTTTCTGTAAACCCATGCTATCATTAGTATTATGGACTCTTATATTATTGAGGTGTACAACATGTTAATGCGTAAGGAGGAAATTTAGGGCTCTCCCTTACACGAACATCAGTGGACCCATCGTGGGCCATTGTCGTCAATGGAAAGTGGAAAGCGTCGTCGACCTCTACTTCTTCAGCCAGAAAACTCCTTATTTTATTATTTCCTACTCATGTGAAACTAGGCCTAGTTTCGGGAGCCAATACTTTTGATGATGCCTTGATTGTCTTGTGAGTGAAAGCGCAACTTGAAAAAACACTGCAATTTTTACGATTGTTTAATTGTCTAACCAAACCAAAAGATATAACAATTTAAAAATTTAGTCTATTATAGATTCACAAACCCACCCACCTTCTTTACAACCATGTCGCAGCACCGCGAACACCTGCTCGTTAAAACAGCACAACAAAACAAAACAAGCTATATAGCCTGGCGCTGTATCAACACAATAGAGTATGGTTCTTAATCCCATGCTTGACAAGCAGATCACTACATTGATATTGAAGAAAGCAGTAGCTGACTTTCTTGGCTAACGCATAATCGCCTTTGCTGTCCATCTATCTTTGCAATGTTGACTTAGGGCCCAAATGCCCAGCAGACGAGAGTATCCATGCAGCAATCCACCGCCTGGCTTCGCCCATTATATTCACGCGTCAAGGATAATCTACCGGCTATTCATGACCCGAAGTGATATTCACCAAAGATCATATTTTATTTTTCTGGAGATGTGGAAATACCTAGAATCATACTTTATCCATGCTGCAGTCGTGTGATTATTGTCTCATATCGTATTCATTGCGATTGTTTTTCTTGGTGCTTGTAAATGAGTATCAATCACTATACAAGTGGCAAAAGAGGCACCAATCCACTACTAGCTTCTCATTTCTCGAAACCACTCGTCTGTCAGTTAGCACGAATTTTCTCAAAGAACCATACCATTACAATTTCTGCTTATTTTTCATTTATTGTTAGGGTGTCTCGGGAGTTGTTTGTTATTAAAAAATTCGATTTTGGGAAGCGGATATAAGTGGATGTTCTCGTAGTTCGGTGAGGTTGAACTATTAATCATATTACTGCCAGGACGCGGAGAATGGCTCTGATAGTGAAGTAGAAGCGGAGGACTGGTCGTCTGAAACAGAAAAAGAACGTGATAAAGAGGAAATTCGGGCTGTCCTGGCACACTCCCACGACATATCGAAGGATTCAGTAGGATCACCATTTGCTGGTTCCGGTGACAAATCACATACGCCTAGCAGTATTCCAACAGTAAGTTCTACTAGTTGTAAGGTGATATTGAAATCGTCACATGTTCATGCATTTTGAAGACGCAGACTCGTGTTGTACCTACGAACAGCGCACCGCTAGTGGCAAGCACCTCTCTTGGTGGAATTTCTCACTCATTGACAGTCGGCTCAATCGCAAAGAAGATGTCGAATACAGGCTCCACAGACAAGATGCTCTCCGTTTCGGATCAGGTAGCCACTGCTGCGTCAACCCTTTCGCTTTGATTGTTTAAATAAATTGGGCTGTTATTGTTTAGCTATCAACTCTTCTATCGGCCTACCCTGCTAAGTCAGGTGGTTGCTGGCTTTGTTCATTTTCTGACCTACCTCATCTATCTTCAATAGCCGTACCTGCTGTCAATTGCCCTTCAGCAAGTGTAGTGAAACAGGCTATGAGTCAGATTGTGAATACGATACAAAACTTGTGAGTTTCTACGCCTAGCGTTAAATCATTTAATTTTTGTTGAAGAGAAGTTTTCAGTTGCAACTCGAACTCGTCTAATCCACCGATAACGTGGGTAGGAGTTATAGGCGGAGACAGACTTATGGGACAGGTCAGTTGAAGTATTAAGTCGGCTGAAACAGTTCCCGCAGTTCTGCACTTCGAGTGTTCCCCTGCATTTTTTGTTAATTTTTTTCCGAACTATGCATACAATTTGGATGTCAGCTCGTAGAGGAAGCCCTTCCATATCCATACGAAGGTTTGAGCTATTTCTGGGAACTATTGACGTTTCATCTCCCTTTTTATGTTACGCAAAATCTTGATTTTCGACTGTTGGCACTTCATGCCTTCAAACTTGGGATAGACACGCTAGAGCCAGTCAGTAATATGGCAGCTGCATATAAAGGATTGCAACTAGGAAACGCATAGCGCAAGATTAGGGTTGGCTTGAGCCTGGACAAATAAAAATTGAAAATGATGCGCGTAGTAAAGGAGGCCCTCATTGTACGGGTTCGCACAAAAGAGATGAAGTGTGCTCATCACGGATACTCGACTACATGTTTGACATTAGAGGTTGGGTCTCTCAAGGGCACCTAACTCAGCCGGGTGCACGCTGTGAGGAGGAGGAAACATGCCGTTAATATATTCATTAAACTGATCATTGCTGGCAGCTCGAATAGCTGCGACGCGCATGGAGGTGTGCGTCCTTACAACGGTAAGGAACCGTTTTCAAGGTGGGTAATAGTGTACGATAAGACTGCTTCTGCACGCTAACATGAAAACGGTTACTAAATATTTGGACGAAATTAAGCTGTCTCGGAACGTTGCAAAACCTGCAGCGCTGCCAACGGGGATTTACCTCAAGTTCTGATGGCCTAGCTCATTTCAAGGTCCGAGAATCGAGTGATTAGACGACGGTGGAGTCCTATTGTAAAGAAGAGAACATAAAGCATAAGAAACTACGGGGATGATAGTCTGCTTCAAGGAGCAAACGAGATCCGATCCTTTGCCACGATAGTGTTAGATCACCCACCGGCAGAATACGCCCTGTAAAAATCATTGAGCGTGGGTCGAAATCTCCTTCATATAGCCAGGTATATCTCTGACCAACCACCAATTCTCCGCTTTTCAACGTAATTCTTGGAGGAGAAATCGCGTTTAGTATTGTGGTATGTCGAAAGTGCCTTCCTACAGCTTTTGGCCTGCAATAATTTCAAGTTATGTCGGAGGGGAAGTTCTCAGCATGGGTCTGATTGGGAACAATGTGGTTAACGTAATGGTTTTCATTTCAAACCTGTGTTTCACCGAAGTTGTGGTGCTTCAAAGCTAGTGCCTCAAAACGGCGGATACTTTTTGACCGACCTAGTACATTTCCTGATATGTTTCGATGGAGTTGTTTTTTTTAGGTTCTTGACTTGTTTCCTTTTCAGATTTTGCGTGCTTACGTAGAATGCCTTCATCATAAATCTTCAAGCCATTGGCTGCACTATCTTCGTTTGCAATTATACCCGCTCCTCACTCTTTGATGGCGAAGCTTCTGGAAGGTTGTCATATTTGATAATATTCTGTGCAAAGACTAGTGGCCTGGGTATTGTGATTGTTTTAGGACACGACGTAGTTTTGGACCAGTTATGTCGTGATATGTGGGAGCGTTGGACTGAATTGAGTCCTCTTGAGAGGCTTGCAATCACTGAGAAGATGAATACGTGGTTGACGGCTGGTGGGGGCGCATGCTTAAATCTTCCTATTGGAGAAGCGCTTCTGCAGATGACCGAAAGAGGGCAGGATGTGAGTGGGTTTTTTATTGCATGTTTATGGCCTTTTCTCCATGAATTTTCCTTTCTTTGTCACCCTTGCTCTGAGTAAAACACAGATCTATTTTCTTTCTAATTTTAAAAGAGGTTTTGAAAATGAAATTTCGCTGGTAGTATGAGGTACATCACAATGGTCAGTTTTCTTAGGCGGATGCATGCCGGGTCTTTGTGCCCTTCCTCGCTGAAGTTCGCGTCGGTCAAAGCTCAGAAGATGAGGACAGCTCTTATATTTTCTCTTCCCCACGAGGAGTGGAAAGCGATAAGGAATTCAATCATTCAGGACGCGATCGGGATTTCTCTGGAGGTGGGGTTTCCTTTTGTTTTGCATCTTTTGAAGAACTAAAATGTGGTTGAGAGAGAAAAAGATTTGTTAAGGTCTATTCAATCTGTTTTTTCATGTTTTCTTTAGGAGTTAGTGGCTCACCTCCAAACAGTCCTCAGGTTCGAACTGACGCTCATGAAATGCATGTGGAATATTGGCTTGGAAGAGATCCTTCTAACGTAAGTGTTCAACTCCATGGGAAGAAGTACCCCAATCTTCTCCACCGCTTTTGCAATTCGTATTTAGGAAAACGTTAATGTGATGGCTGCTCAAAATGTGACTCCAAACTCTAAGAAGGACGTAAGTAAAGGTTCGATGAAGGCCACTTTCCGAACTCTTGTGATCACTAGGTATGTGTTTCCGATCTATTGCCTCATGCCAGCGATTTGTTATTGTGACGTTGTTTTTTTTTCAGATCATGTAATCAGCATCTTTTGTCATTAAATTTTGTCAAAGAGAAGAAGAAAGAAAAAATGCTGCAGAAGTTGGGTATGAAGAAGGGTCAAGTGAGTGTTTTTCATCCAAAATTCTGTTAAGTTTTCCCATCTGAAAGGAATCCCAATAATCTTTCGATCGGTGTGGCTACAGTGACCGCATTCCTTGCTCTGTGGGAGGTTGAGGGGGTCCGTAGCCAATGAGCGCAGCTATTTCACCTGCCTTCCAACCATGGCGCAAACACGGCTTATGTAGCAAAATGAACGCTTGACTCGCGATGAATGGTGGCTATGAACGCGGCTCAAGAGGCATTGTGAGTAATCAAGAAAATCGACGGCGAACTTCGATCACTCGAAAGCCTCGCACTGTATTGTCTCAAGTCGGTAATTTCACACTCTGATTTGATGTTATCAGGTTCATTTCCTTTGTAGAGATCGGAGAACGAAAATCCGCCAGTGCAAGTGACTGCCGTGTCACGCCTACTTTGCAGTGGTGCAAGCAAGCACACCGATCTCACAGGTGTGCTCAACTTTCACTTATTCACCCTTTTTTTAATTCTTTTTAATCCTGAGTTAAAATGAAAAATCACATTGTATTATAACTGGTTTTTTTTTTGCAGTTAGCGTTGACGGCTTCACATTTCAACGTGTTCGATATTTCCAGTGCAGTTCACAGTGGCAAACGCACATTAAATCATTCCCCGTATCCCTTATTTCACAAAGTGTAGCATCCATGGCTACATAATCATGGTCAATTTTCTGAACTTACATGACCAACGTACTTGTTTTCACTTGCCGTGGTCAGTGTAGATTGCTCTTAAAACTGAAGAAATCTTTCAGTGCTTGCTGATGACTCGCGTTGCTTGCCTGTATTGTGTCTGTTGCTCGCTTTCCCCCATATTTATGCCTTTTTTCTGATTCGTAATCCTGGTTATGTCACTGCTTTCTTTTCGCAGCTTATTTGTCCTTTTATGTATCTATGTGCGACTTTCCTTTAATTTGCCTTTCGTATACCTTATATACCTTCCCGAACAGTTGTTTGTTCGCTTCGGTTACAACGTGTAGAGCAGTTATGGGGTGCGCTATCTTTCCTCGTCTTCCGAACACATGCGTTTCCTCAATCATTTGAAATCTGAACGTCTTGGTGCTTTTAACACTGCTACATAATCTGTTAATTTTTCTCATAATTTTAGAGCTTATTGTCTATGACGCCACAATCTGGTCCTCATTTTCATCACATTCCTCATATAATACTATTTGTGATTGATTTGAATTATGCCTATAAATACAAATGCCGGATTTTAATTGAATGGTTGCCCTGGCGGTTAAACCTGGTACTGCTTTTAGCAGTTTATACATATAGTTTGACCATCTCGAGAATGATTCAGAGCATCATTTAAGGGCATGAGGGAATTTCTCGACAAGATGGATCAAGTTGCTTGGCGAGTCATTTATTGAAGAAATGCTGCCTTTGGGCGAGAAGAAATTACGAAGGTAGGAGGACGGGAATCTCTCCTCACTTAAACCTTTCCGGACCGCGCAGTTTTGCCGTGGCGGGCGCGCGTGCTACACGGCGAGCATAAATAAATTGGCCCTGTACAGGCGAGATCTCGAAGTCTGATTGGGCGTGTCACCGGAAATGACGTGGCAGCCACCGCACTGTATAGATGTTGTGTGGATAGAATACTCCGCCAGATATCAGCAAAGCGTGTTGAAAGCAGCTTATCTGCGCAACTTCTATCAAGTGCGGTAGCTGCCACGTCATTTCCGGTGACACGCCCAATCAGACTTCTAGATATCGACTGTATTTCCACTGAAATCATTACTTTGTTCCATTTTGTATTTTTCATGATTAAGAGGAGCGGTAGTGGTTAAGCGTTCTGTACAAGCCAAAAAAATTTATTAAGGAAGAGTCAAACATTTCAAAAAACTACAAGCAAGTAATTCAAAGTGGTTACATATAAGATGAAGTAGTGCATATGGTGTACTCGACGTTTTGATGAGTTTACGCCACATCTTCCAGATAGCTGACGGCGCTAAGGAAACTTGAAAATGACGTGGAATCCATCGCTGGTTGTTGTAACCTGGAGAAATGTAAAAAAAAGTAGAGTTCGCTGCTGGTAAACTTTTGTTGGATTGCACCATGCGCTTGGAATCGGCCTTGAAAGATTGTTATCACCTTTGCTTGTGATGCCGCATGCTCCTAGGTCCGCAATTATTAGCGTCTGATCGCGGAAACCGAAATATGCTTTGGTACCGAACACTACTTTACCCATGCAAGTTTGACCGAGAAGTTGGAGGCTCTGCTAAAGAAGCAGCTCATGACTTCTTGTTAGACGTCGGCGCTATGCAATTGCGATCATGTCCTCTGATGAATTGCGGAGCAGCAAAGGTATTTGGTTGGAAAGACACGGGTCGCGATTAGATCTCGGAGGAATTTTCTTGAGAGTTAGCAGTAGCAGGACCCCTAATCACAGGGCAATGATTCATTCGCGCCTTAAAAGTTCGCGACAATGGGCTATTGGCTTCCTTCGCTGCGACCGCTACCATCCTTATCAATTGCTTCACGTGGTGTTTGCGCCTTCCTTTCTATGTATGATATTTTTGTGATTTTTCACTAAGGTTCCTCATCTCATGGCTCACAGGTGACAGGGGAAGGTTCTTTATTGCACTTCTTGCCTAATGTTTGAGCAAAGACACAAACTAATCCGATCCAGAACCGTGCCTTTGAAGAGGATTCCACGATAAGCAAGGAAGGAAGGAGAAACCTATCTTGTGGGAAGACAGGCGGGATCCCCCTAAGGATATTCCCCTTACCGACCTAGCATGGCCGTCCCCGAGCCGCTGTCGCCGCGACACGCCCACTGTTGTGCCGTCTGAGCCACTAGCCATTTAGTAGAGAGAGAGTGTGTGTGTTAGTTTTTAGGAGGGCAGCATCGATGAGAGTCGCAGCAGCGGGAATAAGTGGGCAGAAAAGGGATCTATTTTTCGGTTCTGCGCCCTTTGTCATGGTTCCATGATCTCCTCACCACTGAACACCTTTACCGTAACTTCTAATGCACTGTGTTTTCATTGTGCGGTCCACGCTAAAACCACAGTACGACTGCTTTTTTAAGCCTAATACTTGGGCTAAAAGCGAGAGATTACGATAGTGCGTGTGCACGCATGGAAGTACGTGCACCAGTGGAAGCAGCAGTCAGGGGCCTAAGGAAGTGAGATGTGGTCTTTTCGTGGGCAAAGGCGCGCTAGTTCAGCGCTCTGGGGCTGCCAATCCTCCCTGGGCTCTGCCTCCATTAGTGTGGTTAGCAACATCATTGTTCCTGTCATTTGAATGATGTACATAGGGCGGAAGTGGTGTAGTGACAAGTATAACGCTTACCACGCGAGCGGTCCAGGGATCAAATCCTGGGTCGTGAGTCGCCCGGGCCAACGAAGCTTTCTGTCACTCCGGGATCGTTTAATTTGTGCCAGAAGTGTCTGGGAGGATAAAAACACACCCCGCAAATTATTGAATAGGCTACATCACATTCAAACTCCACTACGAATGTACAAATGGAAGTAGAATGCGTGCCGCATCCCAAAAAGGGATTGATTAACGGCAGATGCTTTCTAAATGCTTTATGCTTTATTTGGATAAGGTATTCCACTTCGAATGTGTATCCTATAACTTACCCATGAAATGCGTCATCAATGAAAACGTGATCTTTGCTGGAACGATAGTGGCTACTGGTTTAACATGTGCAAACGACGTCTTAAATGGTTGCAGCTAGTCCATTATCGGAGGTCAGTGGGCAAAGAAACGGGTCCCATTTTGCGTGTTTTTGGCGGATTTCTTTGCTCGCCACTGATGCATTATTCAGCATCTCCGCTTCCACTATAAACTAAACCCAGTCTTATCGTAATCCCTCGATGTGAACCAGTAACCGCTATGAAAGATCTCTCAATGATTCTCTTCG